GGGGGGGGGAGGGCTGGCGGGCCTTTAGCTGTACCACCCTGACGGGATGTTATGTTGTCATTGGATGGAAAGATATGGATATGAGTGGAGGGATTTAAGCTTCTTTTAATTCTTCTTTCATTTATTACTATTCCCATTGTAGGTAATCTTTGGATAGATAGTCCAAATCAGCGTATGTTTGCAAGAGAGGGGTCAGACATAAGTCTAACGTGGAGATATAAGCTGTCACTAAACAGGAAGCCAATGGAGATTCTCTTTGGCACGTGGGAGGATCCTGGTTATATAAAGACCAAATTACTTATAGCTAAGCCTTCTGAATCTCAACATTATGTCCAAGTGAGTCCGCCATATTGTTCTTGTTTATCTGTTGTGTTGTGTCGTCTGATCAGTGTTTCTGTAGGATATTTCAGAATTTAGTCTTCAATACTTTGCTTGTTTCATTATTTGAGGGTACACTACAATTCACTCATGAATTTGTATCTATTTTTACTATTTATTCCTTTATGACATAAATTAGGTTACCAAAGGAAGAATTAAGTTTGAAGGCAACTTGTCAAGCAATGGAACAGCAATCATAACTATGCATAACGTAACTCTACAAGATAACAAAGAATTTGGGTTTGAGATTTTTATTGGACTTTGTTGCTCTCCATTAAGGGACTATTTCTCATTAGTAGTTTACAGTAAGTTATTTTTTACATATTTTAGTAGCATTAACCCTAAAAGTATAATTCCTAGGGAATTCGAAGGATCCAACGAATTGAATCGTGCTACCTGAGATTAGTGTGTACTATAAATAGTAGAGGGAGACAAGGCGCTGGGTCAAGATCACGTGATGGTACGGTTTCAAGTTTGCTGGGTATCCTAACCAGCCCTGAGTCTACTAACTATGCTGTAGATGCTTTCACATCTTATCGTGTAGCCTGCTTTAATTAAAAAACTAACTTTAACACATGTATTTAATTTATTTACCGATTTATCTTTGTTAGCTAATGCAAATTACGAAATTTAATCCATCAACAGCACTTCCTCCAAATCCAGTTATTTTGCAAAACAACATTACCAATGGTTCTTTGTATTTATTATGGCAACCACCAAAACAGCAAGTGCTGCGTTATCCAATCACACAGTACACAATATGGATCAGGAAAAACCATTCACTGTGGAGAACACTAAATACCTCTTCGACAAAGCACATTGTACAACTGTGGGGAGTGGGGGCATATGATTTCGGAGTCACTGCTTGGAATCGCTGGGGTCAGAGTATGCTAAAAGTAAATCATACTGCAACTGTTTTAGCAGACGTCACTCCAACCACTGCTGTTGTAGATACATCCACGCGCACAGAGAAAGTACGAAATATTGTCACAGGTGAGTTAAGTGTTGCAAGAGGAACATGGATCCATTAGAACATGTCAATATCCCCATCAATATCGCAGACTTGAGAAGGTTCAAAAATAGTTCATCTTTAGTAAAAAGGAACAATCTTCACTTTGAAGTTTCGTGCACTCAAACTTCATTCACCTGCTGCTTCTCAGATATATTAATTATGGTTACAATAAATATCGGTCAACTTTGTTGTTGTCGATGTTGCTAAATCGTCCATTTTGGGATAAAAGATTCCTGTTGTTTCAAAGTTGGCCCGGCTTCTTAACTGATTTCATCATACAATCAACTGTACATTATTAAGACCGGCTGCAATGATTATTTCGAACTAGGAAGTCATCTACCTAGTTAGAATTTTGTTATGTCCTAGGGCTTTTCTGACCAACAATGACATCATTTCTTATTACGTTTTTCTTAAAGTGCAACCAGCTTCATCAGCAGCTACTACAGTAGTCACAGTACAAGGTGGTGCTCGTGATCCCAGTAGGAGTCCCCCGAGGAACTATACATTGCCAAAATTTATGATATACATTATAATTTCAACTGCTGTTGCTTTTGTCTTCGCCTTTTCAATTTGTCTTGCCATCGTGCTAGTCTATAACAAATCCAAAACAAAAGGTTTGTGCCAAATATCATATTTATTTATTTCAAGAAGATTATAGAATATTTATTCATTTCAAGAAGATGTACGGGGCTAGTGCTAAGGAACTTTTATACATCTTTTAAGTAAAATCTTAAGATCTGCTTGCATTGTTTGTATATATTTTTTCTCCTTAACTTTGTTACGCCCATTTCCTAGACAAATGTACCCTGCATTATGTTATTGACAATATTTAATCATATTACCAATTATTTTATATTTAGAAGTTAATTCGTACTTGTTCTCAATATATCTTTTGTTTTTTATAGGAAAATATTATGAAAGAAAGGCCAGGTAAAGTCTGTTGTAGCGCTATAGCCTGGCTTTGCATTCATGGCTTTGGGATTTGTTAATTTATATCAAATAGCTGAAAGTTGACCTTTTCCTTTGCAGGAAAGATGACGAGTCAGTAGACGATGTCGTCATTGATTCAGTTAAGGTAAAACAGCAGTACCTCATGGATGTAGCAACCGGGAGTTGAAACGCTCTTGTGAATAAACTGTTCCAAGAGAGAATTTCAAAATGGGAAAGCACGGCGCAGGTTTTAGACGGAGAGATCGATTCTTATATAATTTTCAACTTTTATGTTTAGGAAGACCAAGRCTCGAACAACTTCATTGTTTTAAATGAGGAAATCGATAACGAAAGAGAACACTTCAAAATGTTTCCCTGTACTCTTCATAAAAGCACTCGGGTATTTCCCATGCAGACATTTGGACTTCAATTGCATAATGCTAGAGCTCATTCTGTGTCGACTCATTGTCAATCGAATAGTTCTAATAAACAGTCAACGGTTTCTAAAGACGTTGATGTTATTTGTTTTGGTGATGAAGGCAATGTACATCAATACCAGCACATCGATGGGGAAGAGGCTCCGGAACTTCCACCACGAAGTCTTCCAATGGCAAAGAGAACTAGGAGTTCTTGTAAAATGAATAAAAGAAAACAAAGCCTGTGTCTCGTAGGTAGCAGCAAGACGGACGTCTTAGAAGAGAAAATAAGAGCCAAAGGCCCGGGCAATGGAAAACGCAGAAAGGATTCTTATAATAGAGAAAGTGTTTTGTCATGGTCAAAAAGCAGTTCCGAGTGCACAGACCTTACGGCACCGAACAACTTAAAGCGAATCGTATCATCAGAAAACAAAATGTCAGGTGACAACAAAGGCGTTTTGGAATCTAGTTATCCATACCGCAAACCCAGCAAGATCAAGAAAGAATATTTATTCACTAGGCAATTAGAAAGTCAAAGGCATGACTGCCCTGTCTATGACAATAACGAAGACAATAGAGAAGGAGAATATACATGCATGTATTCAAACTTGGAAAATCCGAAAACCGATTGGGAAGTGTGCCCAAAGGATATAAAGTTATTCCGTAGAATTGGGGCTGGATCGTTTGGTCAGGTTTGGAAGGGATCGCTTAAGGGAAAAGCAGTTGCTGTGAAATTACTGAATGGTAAAGAAACTATTCTGAATTTTTTCTACTGATATATATGCAATAAAAGAATAACGAGCTAAATACGCAACCAATTGAACCATCAAACGACCAACCTATCTATCAACTAATCAACACACAGACAGACAGCAGGCAGGCATACAAACACATAATTAAGCAAGGAAACGGGAGTGAAAAAAGTGAAAGGATAAATGAAAGAACAAGAGAGCAAATGAATAAGTCAAGCATGATCAATATCAATGCAATGACACCCATGGTAATTAAGTAAGAGACTGCTAGTCTTTCCAACAACTTAACGGGGTCATAACTATCCTTCACTAGGAATCGAATTCATTTTTGCAATTCGAAAATGAGAAGAGAACGTAGCTACAAGATCTATTAAAATATACATTTTCCTCATCTACAGAAAAGGCATCTCCCTCAGACAAGCAAGACTTATTATCCGAACTTGAGGTGATGAAGACTTTAAAACCACACCCAAATGTCGTAAGACTCAAAGGTTGCTTAAGTAAGGGAACAGTCACCTGTAATGACAAAACGTTCAGTAAGTATCCAACCCGAACAAATAGTTGATAATATAGATTTAGAAGAAAACTAGACCGGCAAAACTAGTTTGAGCTTCTAGTTTGAGGGTGATTATTGTCTAATTGTTTTTTCAAAAACCACAGAACCTCCCCTCGTGTTCCTCGAGCTGGTTACGTATGGAGACCTTCTGGGTTACCTGCGAAAAAGTCGAGGTGAAGACGACACCTATTACGTCAATAAAGGCTTGAAGAACCCTAAGAAAGTAGATCCTCAGCATCTTTTTAGTTTTGCCCTCGACGTAGCAAAAGGGATGGCTTTTCTAGCAGAGAACAAGGTAACCTGGCGTGGCTAGTCCAATGAACCTCATACATTTAGCCCCTTTGTATGCTTTGAGAGATACGTCTAGCTATTGATTGTTTCGTAGATTGTCCATCGGGATCTTGCTGCAAGGAACGTTTTAATTGGTGACAGACTGAGGTGCAAAATTACTGATTTTGGCATGGCAAGAGCACTTAGTGATGACGACATATATACAAAAAGATCGAACGTGAGTACTGATAAAATGCTACAGTTATGGTTTGCCTTACGGCATCTATTTTCGCACGCAATGTTTCCGCAAGAAAAGAGATTTTTATTATTTATTAAGAGAAATTTATTCATTTATTCATTCTTTCGTTCGTTCGTTCGTCTGTTCGTTCGTTCGTTTGTTTGTTTGTTTATTTATTTTCATTCGTTTATGGTACCTATTTCAAAAAGGTTCAAGGTCCTGTAGTACACCAGGGAACGTTTAGCGATATATAGGTACAAAATCGTACGACCACGTTTTCTTTCGATGTACATTGAATTGTGTAAAGGAAAACGAAAACAAAAAAGAAACATTTACATCGTGGGAGATTACATTAAAAGTATGTGCTATATATATTGGTCTTTTTACTTGTACTTTTAGGGCTTGTTTCCTGTAAAATGGATGGCTCTTGAATCTCTATTGTACCAAAAGTACACAACATACAGCGATGTGTGAGTAAAACGATTGATTATTAAAATATATCATTTATATCAGATGCCGTACTTTAGGATACACTGAGAGTGACTACGGTGACGACAGCATTCTCCACAAAACACATTTCCCCACAAAACACATATCAGTATACTGTATATAATGCATAATTTAGAATGCGCTAACATGTGGCGAAGGTTACTGGTTTCGCACGCCTAAATTGGCCGAAAAAGAGTGGGGTGCCAAAGCGTTTTACAACAAAACACATAGCAATGTAATACATAATCTATAATGCGGATAAGGATCAATAAGTTCAATGTCAACTAACAGCACCTTATGCATACTAAAGACACCGGTCTTTTTGGTCTTTGTTGATTTAAAGTTAAAATGAAGCGTAATGATACTTTTAGTATTTTTCTTCTTTTTTAGCTGGAGCTATGGAATAGTTTTGTACGAAATATTTACATTAGGTAAACGGTTTTAATTTCATTATTAAAACTCTAATGATTTGATTTAATTTTGACAAAGAAGACTATTAATGACATGCATGTATGTGATCTTGATCATTGCAGGTGGTCAGCCATACTCTGGAATGGCTGGAATAGAAGTCATAGAAATGGTCAAAGGTGGAAAACGACTACCAAAGCCTCCACACGTTTATACCAAACTGTGAGTACCTTTCTTGGCTGCTACGTTCAATAGACCCTTTTCGAGTTCCAAATTACCGCTGTGTTTCTTGATTACAGACTCATTTGATCAGGCTAAGCCTGGATTTTGTAAAGAATATTCCGGTGTTCCAGGCAAGGTCCGTCGAGTTTCAAAGTGTTCGTATTGTTTAAGTTGTGCATTCTTTACTTTACTGTTGGTATTTGCGAGTAATTAGACACTGATTCGAGGCTTAGCCTGAGCAAATGAGTCTGTAATCAAGAAACACAGCGGTAATTTGGAACCCGAAAAGGGTCTATACTGGAACCATACAGGTGCAAAAATGGATTCACGGTTTTGTTTATAGAATCTTAGTAGTAACGTATGTCTATGTATAGGGTCACGATAATTTATGCATGTATTATATATTCATATATTCCTGTTCCCATAGCAAATCACCGGAAACGGAAACGAATGGGGTGACGGATCGCCCAAGGGGAGACGGGAACGGGTGACGTAACGGGTGACGTAAGTGGGGGGATTTGATATTTTTTCTTCTTTATTTTATTTTATTTGAAAAAGTATGAGGTCCCGCGAGCGGGGGTCGAACCAGCAACCTTCGGAACTATAGTCCGACGCTCTACGCGTTGAGCTACCGCGAGCACTTACTTAGGGAGGTGTTTTAAAAAGGTAGTCAAGACGTGGGTTTGAGGTTAACGGTTTTTAATAGGAGGGGTATTCATGACATTTACATGTACAGGTGTTACATGAGCAAACGCAGGTATGACCCTTAGAGGTCATCCATCGGTCACGACTTTCTTTGATGTATTTCTTGCGTTGTTCCCTGCGCTCTTCTACTTTGCGCTTTTCTTCCTTTTGCTCGTACGTGCGGAGGGCATCTTTGGAAACCTTGATCTTCCATTGGGCGTACGCTTCGATGAGGCTGGGATCGCCAGAGTGAATGTGGGGTCCTTGAGGAGGATTTACCATGGCAAAGGTATAGGTATTCCAGGCGGGGAGAAAGCTTATACGTCGTAGGATGCCATGATTGGTGACGAGGACTTTGCCAATGCCTCGAGCAAGGTCGTTGGCTATTTCCTTGGGAGTATCGGGGCTGTGGATGAGGTAGCGCTTGTGGGTTTCAGAATGAACGAACCACTTGGCGCTTTCCTCTTCTTCGAGGGTGGGTCTGGGTTTTGCTTTGGAGAGGTCGCTCCCACGAACTTTGATGAGACTGGCCTTGACTTGGTCGTCGACGGTGGGGGCAGGCTTGGCTTCTTTGGAGACCTTAGCTGAGGATTGAGCCTAAGAAGGTAAGGAATGAAAAAAGAAGTTTTTTTTTAAAAAAAAAAAGAAAAGCTCCCCTGCGAGGAGTTGAACCTCGATCTTCAGCCAGCTAGGCCAGTATCATACCATTAGACCACCGGGGCTGCTATGAAATAGAAGGGTGAAGTTAAGGTAGTCTAGGGTAGTGATCCGGAAGGAATTAGCATATGAACTCGAGTCATAGGTGTGTTGAAAGGTTTTTATTGGCCAAATGAAAAAGCAGTACATAAATTTAACAAACGAAATGTTTTTTAGTTAATTAGATAAGTCGTGTCGTCGGACGCGTTTGCCATTACGAAGAGTTTGGAAAGGTGTGGTACAGTTTCTACATTGGGGGAACCATCCAGG